CAAGAGATGGGCACGGAGTGGAGGAGAGAGAGAGGGAGATAGAGAGAGAGCGAGAACGAGAGAGAGAGAGAGAGAAGACAAACAACAATCACATTTTATCACGATGATTTTGACACGAACCTTGACGACTGCCAAGTATAGCACGCGAGAAAGAGTCAGAGCGGCGAACTAACCGAACGCAGCCCAGTTTTGCCACACGCTGAGCCTCAATCCATTAGAGCGCGCTCCAGTAATCTGCCAGCGAAGCTCAGGGGCTTGCTCATAGAGGAGAGCATCCCTCTGGAAGGATTGGGATGCTCACTGGCCGCAAGGTCCTCGGTCCAAGCGCAACGCCCACTCGTTGGCTAGTGTGAGCTTCACTTGGAATGCTTCAGCAGCGGCGGGCATGGCAGTCCCAAACCGAGAAAGCCTTGAAGAGAGGAGATAGGGGATAGCACTGCCATTGCAAGCAATGGACGACGGATGCGAAGGCTTCTAGAACAAGGCGGATAAGGAGAAGACGGGTGATAGGGAGGAGGGGGAGAAAGTCCGTGAGAGGAGGAGGGAGAAGGCAGGAGGATGCGGGGGGAGAGGGGTAGGGGAGAGGGAGAGGAGGGGGGGTCAGAAACAATCCTATCACCCCTCAGGTGGGTTAGAAACAAAACTGTTCCAACCCACCTCCCCTTCGGAGAGGAGCTTATCCCTCCACGTTCAGCACTGCTCCTTACTAGCCCCTGTCAAAACATGCAGAAACGCCTGTGACCTCGAAATCTGGATCAGGGAGCGAGGATCCCACGATCACTCTTTGCATGAATTGCTTAATGTAATGGCGGGGGGGATCACACCATCCGTTTTAAAAGCAGCATCAGACTGAGTGCGGGCAAGCGCCAGATAACATACTGACATCCCGCCGCTACTTGGCCTTGGCTTTTGACAGAGATGGGATGGGGGGTGGCGACAGATTAGCCGATGTGTGCCATTGCCTGCTTCCGCCTGGCGCACTCTGCGCGCGCGCGTCGCGCGAACTTGGGGCGGCTGACGCATGTGACTTTCTGGCGAAAGTTGTACGCCTGTCGCGCATGCCACGCTCGGGACCCTGGTCACCTGGTGCTCCCGGTGCGCGTGGCGCACCTGGCACGCGTGATGCACCCCGCGAGCCTCGCGTGCCTGACGTCTGTGTTGGTGCCCCGATGGCTGTCCGAACGATGGCGACCTCTGCCTATCCTGAATCACCGGTAGCACTTCTATTATGGGGCGGGCGGCTGGGAGTGAGCGAGAAAGCTTGCGACGTCCCTTTCGGAACTTGGCCCCTCCACCATACACCCTCCGCCGTGGTGTGGACTAAAATTTCGCGAGGTGCGAGATCGTCACCCCTCCCCCCTTTCTCTCCAGAATTACTCAATCTGACGACTGCGAGATTCTCCCCCCTCCCTCCTTTCTCTCCACAACTACTCAATCTGACGACTACTCTCCCCTCTCTCCAGAGATGGCTAGGGAATCGCCCGCCCCCCTCCGCGTACGTCTTTTTGTGACACGACGGATTTCACAGTATGGCCTTGTCACTGTTAGGTTTCCAGAATCGGAACGTGATCGCAGTTTCAAAGGTGTTACCGCTTCAGCGTTTGCCTCATTCTACGAGCGGCACCTTGCTCCCACCGTTCAATGATGCACTCTCGCCCCAGCGCGGGCCACATCTCTGGATCTGGGTGCTTCCTCAACGCTGCCCCTCCCCCGCCTTCCCATGGTCATCCTGCTCTGCCCGCTTCTCCCACACCTGCTCCTGCTGCTGCTTTTCCTCCTCGTCCTCCTCCTTCCTCACCCTCCTCCTCTTCCTGCTGCTCATCCTGCTGTTCATCCGCCACCTCCCTCCTCCTCCTCCTCCTCCGCCCCTCCTCCTCCTCCTCCTTCTCCGCCTCCTCCTCCGCCTCCTCCTCCTCCTCCTCCTCTCCTCCTCCTCCTCCTCCTCCTCATCTAATGTGCGGAACTTCCCTCTTGTGATTGCGCATGACACCATGGGGTCCGACTGGGGCGTCCCAAGTCCGCCATGACACCCGTCGGCGGATACAGACGCACACCAACGCGCAGTGGGAAGGAACGGGTGGGAGGTGCAGGATGTCACATCTGGCGCGAGCACACCGAGCCCGCCTCTGCGCACCCCTCTCCCCCCCCGCTGCCACCACTCGGACCCCCCTCTCCAGAGTCCCCCTTGGGAGCCCCGGGAGGCCCTCCGAGATCTCTCGGAGGTCACCCTGGCCACCACCAAAGACGCGCAGCCACCTCCCTCCAGGAGAGGCCGACCCACGTCCCCGGTGTTGGGGGGCGACGCCAAGGCCTCCCCCATCACAGGGGACGTGTCGACCCCTGCCCCAGGCATCGTGGAGTCGTCGGACGGACCAGGGACGTGGGGCCCAACCCTGGGATATGGGATGGTGGGGGGGGGGGGCCGTCCACCCTCGGTCGGCATGCGTCGGAATAACCCCCCCGAGGGTGTGTCTCCGAGATTTTCCTCTCTGTCTGCGCGGCCAGACTCTTCGGGCGAAGCTCGGAAAGATGGGGAGACCACTCGCATGCGACGTGCGGCCGAAAAATGGTTATGCCGCCATCCTCGGGGACCTTGTCTGTCCCCTCTCGGCCCTATCCGCGTCGAATCGGTGTCGAATCCATGTCGGACTCGTCGGATCCGTGTCGACTCCGCGACGAATCCGCGTCGAATCTACGCCAATCCGCATCGAGCCCGCGTCGGGCACAGGAGAAAACACGAATTTGGGGGACAGGCGGGGCCCCCCGAGAATGCAACGTAATACCACTACTACAACCGAGGAAGCGCCCTCCTCTTACTCGCCAGGGCCCCTGATACGGGGTCCTCCCCGGCCTCCGACGCTGTGTTTCTCGACCGCGACGGTGCCCCCCCCCCCCCCCCCCGAGCTCTCGACCCCGGCCCCCGGGGCCGGTTCGTCGTCTTGGATCTATCGTTGAAAGCCACCCGGGACCCTAGAGGCCTCGTGGCTGGGGTCGGAGTAGCTGGGGTCGGAGGATCGCGCCGCATCGCCGACGCATCGGCGATGCATCGCCGACGTCGGCGACGCATCGGCGCCGTCGACGTGGAGAACCTCGGGCCCCACGTCGAGCCGCATCGCCGACGCCTCGGCGAGGCGGCGCGGTCCTCCGACCCCGCCCGCTCCGCCCGCGCCGCCTCGAGGCCTCGAGGCCGGCTCCCCGGGTCGGCAGCGAGCGAGGGGGGGAGCGACAGGGGAAGGGCCTCCCCAGCAGGCGGCGGGGCCTCTCAGCAGGGCTGAACCTAAACGGTGTTTTTCGTGTTCGTTTTGTTTCCGTTCTCCCTCGTTTTGTCTTCAATCCGCCTGTGCCGCCAAAGCGAAGTCGAAACGAACACGGCCCAGGAAAAAAATCGCAAAAAAAACACACCATTTGGGGTCCAGCCCTGGCTCCCAGAAGCCCTGGCGCCTTCTTAGGAGTTCGCTGTCCCGAGGGGAGGCGGCCGCAGCTAGAGGTGGGGGAGCGGCAGCGCGGGGGGGGGGGGAGGAGGAGGAGGAGGAGGAGTAGGGGAGGAGGGAGAGGAGGTGGATGAGGAGGAGAGGAGGAGGAGGAGGAGGAGGAGGAGGAGGAGGAGGAGGAGGAGGAGGAACACTTCGCAGAGGAACGGAGGACGTCCGAGCCTTCTGGGCAGGCCCGCCCCATTCTCACCTTCCCCCCCCCCGGGGGGGCCGGCCGCCGAGCGGAAGAGCCCGCCGTCGTGATGCTTCAGGGCGCACGAGGGCTGACTACCTACCAGACCACCCCAACCCAACCCGAAGACCCGAATTTCGGGTTGGGGGGGGGGTATGGGCTCCATATGTGTTTTTTCGCTGTTCCCGGACCCCCCCCCCACCACTAGGAATCGAGGGCAAATCTGAGCCTTCGGGTTGGGTCGGGGTGGTTTGGTGGGTGGTGAAGGACTGCGTCGGCGTATATCGACTTTCTCCGCCCCCATGCAGCCACTGGACAACACACAACCCTCGCAAGCGCTACCCCAAGTCAACTTGTCGAGCTCTGTCCAGGCATTCCGTGTGTTCACTGTTCGACCTCAAACGAAAACATCAACACTCACCCCCCCCCCGCCCCCCGGATTGTGTCTCCTCCTCTTCCTCCTCCTCCTCCTCCTCCTCCTCCTCCTCCTCCTCCTCCTCCTCCGTCGTCTCGCTCGGTCGCTATTTCAGGGCACAGGGTTCGATCAGACACATAAAAGAGAGAGAGAGAGAGGGAACGATATATATATATATATATATAGAGAGAGAGAGAGAGAGAGATAGAGCGAGAGCGGGACAGACAGAGAAGGCAAACAAACATACCCATACCCCTACACATGTATGCATATCGCTGGGAGAAGGAAAAGGACATGGACGTCTGCGTCTGCCGATCTGGCGACCGCTACTCCCCCCTCCTCCTCCTCCTCCTCCTCCTCCTCCTCCTCCTCCTCCTCCTCCTCCTCCTCCCTCCTCCTCCTCATCCTCCTCCTCCTCCGCCTCCTCCTCCTCCTCCTCCCTGCCTCTCTCCTACTCCTCCTCCTCCCTCCCTCCTCCTCCTCCTCCTCCTCCTCCTCCTCCTCCTCCTCCTCCTCCTGCTCCAGCGGGCAGCCCGCCAAACAACAGTGCAGCGCACTGGAAGACAGCAGCAGCAGCAGCAGCAGCAACAGCAGCGGGAGCAGGGGGTGGAGGCGGGGCCTCCCTCGTGCGAGCGCGCGGCCGCATGCCAGCGCTCTCTCAGAGAGGAGTCGAGCGAGGCAGAGTCGGATCCTTCTTGCTGGTCGTCAACCTCCTCCTCCTCCTCCGCCTCCTCCCTCTCCTCCTCTCCCTCCTGCTCCTCCTCCTCCCCTCCTCCTCCTCCTCCTCCTCCTCCTCCTCCTCCTCCTCCTCCTCCTCCTCCTCCTCCTCCTCCCCCTCCTCCTCCCCTTCCTCCTTTTCCTCGTCTGCCTTCCTGCGAAGGGGCGAGGTCACGGGCACGGACCCCGGCTAGGAGGGCCCGGCTCACTCGCCGATGGCGCGCTGCTCGTTCAGCTCGTCGCGCGGCGCTCCGCCGTAGACGGTGCCGTGGAGGGCGTCGTAGCCGACGGGCCACATGATCATGCCGCCAGAGTTCCAAACCTCGGGGCGCACGGGGCGGAGGAGGACGAGGGTGAGGATGTGGATCTGGATGACGGCGGTGATGAAGCACCACTATCCTCATCCACCATCTCATCACGCCATCACCCACCCCCGCTGATGGTAAGGGGAGTAAAGGAACGCGCCTAAGTATAGACCAACCACCTCTTCCTGCACCGCAGGACCCTTCCCCAGGGCAGTCGGTCAACAAGAGTGTATGTTTTAACGACAAACTGCAAGCGGCTCTTCCCGAAAACCAGGTGCTGATGGAGGTGGTGGTGGTGGTGGTGGTGGTGGTGGTGGTGGTGGTGGTGGTGGTGGTGGTGGTGGTGGTGGTGGTGGTGGTGGTGGTGGTGGTGGTGGTGGTGGTGGTGGTGGTGGTGGTGGTGGTGGTGGTGGTGGTGACGCGCAGGTCGTACGCGGCCTGCGTGCCGAGGCGGCGCAAAGCACGCTCGGATGGGAAGGGGGGCGAGCGCGCGCGGGCGAGCGCGCCGCCCCAGCAGAAGCGCGGCGCGCGGGCGGGAAGCCCTTCGGGCAGAACACGGCGCCGCATGCGCACGACAGGGCGGCGTCAAGCCACCGCCAACGCTGACCTGCGTGTCGTCGCTGGTGTCGCGGTTCGGTGGGGGCGGGGAGGACCCGGGCTGGCGGCGTCTATTCAGAGCTCGTGGCCCTAGTCTCGCTGGAGGCTCGAAGCGTAAGGCGGACACCAGCCCACAGCATGGAAGGCACCGAGAAGAAGCCTTAGCGCCAACAGTCGGCATCGCATACTGCCCCCGACCACGGCCTGCACTGCCACCCCTGGCAGTTCACGACCCTGCGGTTAGAGGAAAGTCTGGTCAGCGTGCCTCGGCGACGGCACGTACGCCACGCCGTGCCTTCCAGGAGGAGCGCGTGTCGCTTTGCTTCGTGAGGCGGGCCAGAATCGACGCTGAGCAATCCTCGCCCTCCCCCCCCTCCCTCACCACCCTGCCCCCCAGGATCTGGGGCTTGGGGCGTTCCTGGGCCGCTCTCAGGCGCTCTTCGGGCCGTCTGGGGGCCTCTGTTTGGCCCCACCCCAACTTGGCGGCGCGCAGACGGGGGTAGGGGGAGGGGGGGAGGCTTCTTAGAAGGAGACTGCTTTGATGTTTCCTAGAAAGGGCCTTGCATCTACAGACAAGGCCGGCGCCTTCTACTACGAAGCAGGAGTGTTCCTAAAAAGCCTCCCCTCCTCCCCCATACCCCCCTTCTGCGCGTGGCTGACCAACGCCGCCGATCCTCCCGGTTGCCCCGCCAGACCTCGCTGCCCTTCTCCAGGAGGCCGAAGTCGAACACGTCGTTCACGTCGGGGTCGGGGATCTGGCCGCCGTCCTCGGGCGGACGGGGGCGCCCCCGCCCCTCCCCTCCTCCCGAAGCGACGGAGGAGGGGAGGGTCGAGGACACCGTTGCTCGGCGGTGGACAAACCTCTATGCAGTAAACCTCCCTTGAGTGAACACGGCCCAGGACCGAAACCCAGGGACCTGGACCCGCAAGAATGACGGTCGCGACGCCCTCTCGCGAATCGAAGAGGGCCAATTCGCGAATCGACATGTCGGGGTAGGAGGTCTATCAACCTCCGAGTTGCTTTCGGGGTGCCTTTTTTGAAGGAGAGCTGCGACACACAAATAAATGCACACACACAAATAAGAAGACTCCACATATCTTCCCGTATGTTCAGGGTTTTTGTCTTCCCCCCACTTCCCATATTGTCCCATATGTTCTGGGGAATCGCCGATCAATTGTGTCTGTGTGTTCCTTTGCCTCCTGAGTTTTGGGGGCGTCGTGCCCGGGAACTGCTGCTGCGGGGGGGCCACGGCGGGGCCGGCCTCGGAGACGTCTGGCCGGGACACGCCCAGGTCCGGCCCCAGGATGGGTCTGGGAGGGATTCTCGGGCTGGGTGAGAGGAGGGGACAGCACAGGGGGGGGCTTGAGAATCAGTCGATGCACCCCTTCTGCACCGCCGTGCTTTTGCCCTGCCTGCTCTCTCTCTCTCTCTCTCTTCTTGCACGCGCTGCCCGCCTGCTGGACTGACTTGTTCTGTTCCCGCAGCTATATATATATATATATATATATATATATACTTTGGCTCTCGGGAAACGGAAAGAGGAGCGAGCCTGCGGCGCGCGCGCGCGTGCGTCGGCAGGCGGGCCGGCCTCCCCCCCTTCAGTGTTACCTTAGTGCATGCTTGACGGCACAATCCCTTCTTACCCATGTCATATGCGGAGCCCACTGGCCATGACATATCATCGGAACATCTGGCAAGGATTCTGAATATCCTAGGAAAAGACTGGTCATCAGCCGAAACGACGACCCCCATCGCGACCGTGGAAACGGCGAGGCAAACGGTGAGGCCAAGCGTAAGGCCCCCCATATGATGGGCCTGTTTTCCACGACCACCACCACAAATTGGAGGGGGAAGGAGGTGGAGGACGAGGAGGGCGAGGAGGAGGAGGAGGAGGAGGAGGAGGAGGAGGAGGAGGAGGACCCCCTCCCACTCCAAGTTGTGGTGGTGGTGGAAAACAGGCCCATCACCATATGGGACGCACAGAAAATACTAACACAGTGTGTCCTCCCTGGAGGCGTGCGTCCGGCCCGAACAGATAGAACACGCCCATATTGTTGTAGTATACCGTGTCCCGAGCTGTGTGGCCAGCAAGCGCCCGCCACAACGCGTACACTTCAAGATTTCTCGGTGCGCGCGTCGCCCCTGGGAGGGGGACGCACACATAGTGTTAAGTCGTCGGGTCTGTCCCCCTACAGGGGGATCTTCGACGATATTCTAAACATGCCCCAGAACATACTCCTGCATGGCCAAAAAATGATCAAAAAACTGTCCCCAGACTATGTTTGACTATTTTTGAACATTCCTCCTGTAGGAGGTACAGGCCCGATTTAAACATAGCACGGTGACGACATTGGATGAGGAACCGCTGGATCAGGAATCCAGGGTCTGGAAGCCCGCGGCACTCCAGCCGTGGAGTGTCCCAAGGGCAGCACCGCCGCCCCCCTCCTGGGGCACCGAGGCGCAGGGAGCCCACGCGAGAAGGCACGCGCGCAGCCCGCGCCCCGCGCGAAGTGACGCATCGTGCCGCGAACGCCGACCCCCGGGGCCCGGGGCCCGTCCGATGGCCTCCCCCCCCCCGCTGGAACGGGCGCCCTGCCGTGGCCTCACCGTCGTGGCCCTTGATGTGCCGTGGCCCTGGGAGCCCGGGGGGCCCCTGGACCGGGGCCAGGCGAGGCTTCGGAAGGAGGGGGAGGGGGGAAGGGGGGAAAGTGGTGGAAGGAGGGGAAGGGGGGGCGGAAGGGAAGGGGGGAAAGGGGGTTGGGGGGCAACTACTGGGAGGCTTTCGTCGGACAAATTACGGAGAACTAGGCCCCATTTGCGAACTGTTACGCCGGAATGGGCCTCGGACTAAGCAGGATGAGCCGGATTAAGCGGGATTAAACTGGATGCAACGGTATTAAACGGGATTAAGCCAGATTAAGCCGGATTTCGGACCAGTGCTAATCAGAATTTGACCTCCCAGGAGTTGCATCCGAAAGGGGGGGAGGGGGGAAGGGTCCGGGGCCTGGGCAGGAGGAGGAAGGGGACGAGGAGGAGCGGGGCGGGGAGCGGACACCGGCGGGTGCGGTCGGGGGCGGGGGGCGCAGAGGGCGGGGTTGACGGGCGGGCGACGCCAGACGCCTTGCCCATGCCCCCCCAAAACGTCGGTCACGAATATCCCGGGGTGGATATTCATCTCGTGCACGCGTCGTTTGTGCTAGTTGTTGACAAAATCAGAACAACATATCGAGGAAACATAAAAGTTTGGGCTTTACCGCTTGCGCAGGATTCGCGCGCTGACACGTATTGTGTATACCTGGCCAACAGATGCCGCCGATAGCCACAACTCCATGGCAACCCGTACGATCGCCGTGAACTTCAGAGAACCGTGTGTTTAGTTCGTTAAGGTGCTGGGTTGTGGAGTTCCGTTCCCCGTCGAGCATCATACAGATCTGCCAGACGTCGACTCGCAGTGCGCACGCGGTCCAAGCCACTCTTCGCATCTCTGATGCTCCTGGACGCATCTTGACAGTGGGCAGAGTCAGCCCCCGTCGCTCCTGGCCCCCGCTCCTCCTCCCCCCTCCGTCTCTCCCCTACTTCTCTCCCCTCCTCCTCCTCCTCCTCCTCCTCCTCGCCCTCCTCTTCCTCCTCCTCCAATCCCTCCCTCTCCTCCTCAATCTCCCTCCTCCTCCTCCTCCTCCCCTCCTCCCCCTCCTCTTCCCCATCCTCCTCCTCCTCCTCCTCCTCCTCCTCCTCCTCCTCCTCCTCCTCCTCCTCCTCCTCCTCCGCCCTTTCCCCCCACCTCCGCCCCCCAAGCATGTCACCTGCAACGCGTGACTCGCCCGTCAAGACACGGGACGGACAAGCAGCCTCCGCCACCCGAGCCCCGGCGACTCCAGTGTGGCCTTCGGCGCACTCCCGGGGACGGGAGGAGCGGCACGACGCACCGCCCCTGCACAGCAGCAGGTGCGGCGTGCTCGGCTTCCCCCCGCCTCCTGCCTGACGTCGGCGGGCAGCGGGGGGCAACACGCGGCCCGACCGTGCGCGCCTTCAGGCGACGACTGAACCAATCGGGGATCTTCTGACCCGGGTCAATCCAGACCCGGGTCAGCAGGAAACCAAAAACTGCAATGCAGGAACAGAAAAACTGCAACGCAGGTCTTCGCAAACCCGGGTCCGCCCACAGGCGCGCGGCCGCCTCGCGGCCACGAGCGGCTCGCTCACCCGGGGCAGCCAGAGGGGGCCTTCGCAGGATCCCGCAGGATCGGGCGCTCTGGCTGACCCCCGTCTGCAGGATCGGGCGCTCTGGCGTTCCCGGCAGCAGTGTCCAGTGGGATTGTGCGCGGGCGAGGACCGTCCGAGAAAAAGCCCACGGGCGGAACGCGAAGACTCCATGGAAAGGAGCGGGGAACCGCCTCGGGAGATACTTCGCACCGAAACGTCAGGGGCAGCCAGCCAGCAGCCGCCTCCAGGTGGATCGTGCGGGCCCGCAGCGATGGCCGAGGAGAAGGGTCCCACAGGGCAACAGGAGGTCGAAGGACGAGGAGGGGGGGAGAGGGGATGGCGTCATCCAGGCATCGTGAACGCGTTGAGGTGACGCTGGACCGATGGCTTGCAGAGATTTCGAGTGGTGGGGGGGCTTTTCTTGTTCGCGGCGTTGGCCGCACGCAGCCATACCCTCCCTTACGTACCCCCACCCATCCCATGGCACCCCTCCCTCCACAATCCCTCCCGCCTCTATGATTTCACCTTCCCCTACTCCCTCTGCAAGCCCTACACCATCTCCTCCTTTTCCCTCCTCCTCCTCCTCCTCCTCCTTCTCCTCCTTCTCCCCCCTTCCCCGCCCACCTGGTCAGACTCCAGGCAGACCCCTCCTGCCACCCCGCCTTCAAACCCACCAGATTCCTCCTCATCCATACAGTCGCACATATGATAAGGAAGCGCGATAAGGATGCGAGGGCCTTGGCCACCCATTTCCAAGCTTGCCGAGCGAGGCGCGGCCAACGAAGGTGGCCAAGGATGGACCGAGGAGGCAAGGATGCAAGGGCACCCCTGGGAAGGTTGCCCATCCGTACTGTGCGGCTGTACTCCTCCCTCCTCCCTCCGTGTCGCCCGCTCCTCCTCCTCCTCCTCCTCCTCCTCCTCCTCCTCCTCCTCCTCCTCCTCCTCCTCCTCCTCCTCCTCCTCCTCCTCCTCCTCCTCCTCCCGACGGCAAGCCCGACCCCAGCCCGCTGGGCGCTGCCTCGGGCCCGCTGGGCCCGCCTGCCGAGCCTTTCTCGAGGCGGGCCTGGCGAAAAACGCCCCCCCCCGATCTCTCACACGCTGCTCGGAGGCTCCACGAGGCCACTCCGTGCCAGTTGCGCGGCGCCTCGAGCGCGCGGCGCGAGGTCTGCGGGCGCCGCGCGGAGTTCGGGAGTCGGCGCCTGGACACCACAGGCCGAAGCGGAGCGAGTGCGGGAACGCACGCGCAAACACACACACACACACACAACAAAAAAAGTCCAGGGGCGAGGGGAGCGGGCTCACATCTCCAGCTTGCTGCAGGCCCGCTCTGCTCTGCTCATGCACGCTGCACTGCAGAAGGTTCGAGATGCCTGGTCATCGCGACTCTTTTTCTTGACACCCTACTCGGAGCGCGAACTGTACCAGGGAGCTGGTGTTCGGCACGTCGGCCATGTCTGCGGTGGAAGCGTATATAAGCAATCACGCTGTCACCATGAGTAACCGTCTTGGTATGTACCCTCCCGCGCAGTGGGAGCGAACTCACGGAACTTCCTGGCGAACCTCGCTCTCGGCCACCGCCGATGTCGTCCAGCCAATTGTCTCGTGCTTCCTTCTCCTCCCTGTTCCTCCTTCGTCCTCATCGCCCTTCCTCATCCTCCTCCTTCTCTCCGCCTCCTCCTCCCTCCTTCCCCTCCCTCCTCCCTCGTCTCATGTCTCACCTCCTCCGCCCTCCCTGAACCTTTCTCCTCTTCTGTCGGTCTGCCTCCGTCCTTCTCCTCCTCCTCCTCCTCCTCCTCCTCCTGCTCCTCCTCCTCCTCCTTCTCCTCCTTCTACTTCCATCCTCCCTCCCTCATCCACGCTGACCTCTCAAGCCTGCCCCCCCCTCTCTCCTCTTCTTTTGCCCACTCTCCCCCATCCCTCTTTCCCTCGCGCCCCCGTCATCCGCCTCTTCCTCTACCTTGCTCAACGCCTCGTCCTCATCCTTCCCCCCACCCCCTACCACGCACACACACACACACACACCTCACAACGAGATCCTCGGGGGATATCTCGTACATGACACGGACGAGCATGAAGATCTGGTCGCACTCGCCTGACCACGGGCGGAAGAGTGGCCAAGCGGGGGCTCCCTGCTGTCCCATCCCTGCTCCTTCTCGTGCCTCTTCCCTTCTCAGTCGTCCTCTTGCTGCCTCCTCCCTTCTGCTTCCTCCGTTTCCTCCCTACTCCTCATTCCTCCTGCTTGCAATCGGCGCCTTGCTCCATCGTCCTTCCCTCTCCCTCGTCCTCCTCTGTAACCCTCCGTATCCATCACGCCTCTTTTCTGCGTTCTCCCTGCACCACCTCCCTCCACGAGCATTCTCGCCTCTGTGGTTTCCACCCTCCTATCATCTTCCTCCCCCTCCTCGTCCGTCTCCGACCTCCTCCTCCTCATCATCATCATCATCCTCCTCGTCCTCCTCATTCTCTCCTCCTCCTCCTCCTCCTCCTCCTCCTCCCCCTCCTCCTCCTCCTCCTCCTCCTCCTCCTCCTCCTCCTCTTCCCTTCTTCCCCTCCCTCCTTCCTCATCTCATATCTCCCCTCCTCCGCCCATCCCTGATCCTCTCTCCTATTATGTTGGTCTGCCTCTGCCCGCGAGAAAAAGTACGTATCACCACCACCCACCACCTGCTCATCCAATCCTCCTGCCTCCTGGCGCCGCCGCCTGCCCCTTTTCGCCCCCTGCCAGACGACGAACCATGCCTCCTGCGTCATGCCTCCTCACCATCCTCATAATCCTGTCTCCCCCTTCATTGTTGATAACTTGTTGTTTTTTTGATAACTTCTGCTGTCCAGGGACAACTGTTTAACACATCGGATCTATATGGGTATGCCTCCTCACCATCATCGTAGTCCTGCCTCCTTCTTTGTGCCCTGCCCTGCCTCCGTCCAAGTGAGATCCCCCCTCCTCCTCTGCCTCCGCCGCCCCTCTGCTGCCTGCCCCTCCTCCTCCTCCCCACCACCGCTGCGGCGAGGGCGTTGACAAGGCACCGTTGGCTAAGAGACCGAGGGTCTGGAAGCCAGTGGAACTCCGATCGAAGACCGGCCACAAAGATCGTCCAGGGTCGGGAACCTCCTGGGCACATCCCTCAACCAACGCCTCCACCGTATTATCATGTTGTTCCCCGCCTCCCGTCTCATGCCCCTGTCCTCCTTTCTGCATCCCGCCCCTTCCCTTAAGTCGGGCGTGTCCCCCTACAGGGGGATATTGGGCAAAAAACAAAAAGTACTCAAACAATACCCCCCCAATGGGCAAAAATAGTCAACAAAGTCGTACCCCGATAATTTTTTGACTATTTCTGAATATTCCGCCTGTAGAGGGACAAGCCCGACTTAACCCTTCCCTTGCCCCTTGCCGCCTCCCCCTCCACCTCCGCCGACGGCATGCCCTCCGCCCCCCCTTGCCCAGGGGGGGGCCAAGTCGATCGGCCCGCATGCGGGCACGCAGCTGATTGCTGTGCTAGCTCAAACGTCGAAGTAGAATAACCAGCTATGGCAACCGCGGCATGCATATTATGCTTGAACTGTCTCTTTGGAGTCCCGAAACGGTGCGGTGACACACCGTGCGGTGACCTCGAAACCCCCCAAAACCTCACCGCACGGTCCGTCACCGCACGGTCTTGGGACGCTGGAGGCCCCTGTCGCCCGAGACATCCTCGGAGAACGACCCGAGTCCCAAAACCGTGCGGTGACCCCGAATCCCCGCACCGCACGGTGTGGTCACCACCCCGTTTGGGGACCCCAGAATTATGCTTGAATTGTCTCATGTATCCGAGAGCGGCCAGGGGTGCGACTCGACAAACACAAACGTCCGTAATTTGCATGTGTCACCTTCGCGCCAGCACTTCAAGTGCAGCGAAGGCCGAGGGATTTTCGGAGGGGGCACAACTTGAGATGCACATGGGAGCTTGCATTGGCACTCGCTCGCGGAGGGAAGCTCCACCCCGGCTCGGCAAGGGCCCTCCCATTTCGCAGTGGTACTGGCTGCGAACGCGTTGCCTTCTGCCATGCTTGGCTCTGGCCAAGATCTCTGTCATAGGCATACGTGCGAGCCCAACAAGTGGCGCGCAAAAACTCAAATACCTAAACGCTGCCATTGGACCAACATCGTAACTACCGTGTCCGCGTACATGACTTGGTAGAAAGGTTCATACATCTGTATACAAACATCGATGTATATGTATGTGCTTTTCCAAACACGAAACCTGCCATCCGTCGATGTTGACGTCGTATCCGTTCCACCCAGTGAGGCAGAGGTAGAACCTGACCACCTCGTCAAACATACACTTACAGCGTGTTGGTCGGTGTCCGGCGGCTGCTCATGAGCACAGGTGCGAAACCACGGCGTGCTTGTAAGCACCTTGGCGAAGTACGAAGCGCGTCTCTCTTGGCGTAGCGGATTCTGTACGACGCATCACTGTCCCACTACATGGTGTAGTTGGCCTGTAGGGTGTCTGTCCTCCTCAGTATGTTGAGATTATTGTCAAATGGGGTAACCGGCAGGCTCCTGCGATGGTTGGCCAACGCGAGAATGGTCCAGCAATTCGTTCCCCGATTCCAGCGTTTATTCGCGCAATATTTCGTCACACTCGTTACGTCCGCATGTTATGCAGATCTGGTCGAACTCGGTTTCTCGTGGACGAGACGCCGCCTGGTACTCCACTTACCAAGCAGGCCAGGGCTCTTCATCACGTGCCGTAGGCGGTGCTGATATGTATAGATTGCACGCTGGCTCGATCTGTCCACCGTGGCTTCTTTGAATACCTCCCAAGGTTTCGCCTCTTCCTCGTCCTCCGCATTTTTCTCTTCCTCCTCCTCATCCTGCTCCTCCTCCTTGAGGGGCCCTGGGACACAAATAAATAGACACAAATAACCAGATTCTCAATATTTTCTCATATTTTCATGGTTTTTGTCTTCCCCATCACTTCACATATTTTCCCATATTTTCTGGAGAGTGGACGATTAATTGTGTCTGTGTGTGTGTTTTTCCTCTCCCGATCTTCCTCCTCCTCATCCTGCTCCTCCTCCTCACCAGCTGTTTCTTCTTCATCCTCCCCTGCTGCCACCTGGCCCTCCCCTGTATCTCTCGCGTCCGTCTTTTTGTCGTCTCTCCCTTTCTCCCCTCCTTTTCCTTCCCCATCCCTCCCATCCTCCATCCGCCCACCTCCTTCGCCCCCCCCGGGCAACCCGAGAGGACCCCGACCTCTGACATCCCTCCCTCCTTGGACCCGAACGACGTTTTCGCCACGTGGGCCCCCCTCCTGAGCTCTTCGCCGCGCCCCCCAGGCGTGCTCTGCATCCCCGGCCGTCTTTCGACGGTCGCCGGGCCGGGGCCGGGGGCTGGAGATAGCAATGATACCCTCGGGCACTACCCCGGGGAAGCGTTCAAGACTCTGTAAGAACCCCCCCGGGATTCTCGTTAGCACCGCACCAGGATTTGATATCTCCAGGGGGCCGCTTTCGCAGAGCGACATCTTGAGCACCTCGCACAAATCAACCAAAAAAAGTTCCGCGCGCTGAAGTTATTGATTCCAGATCTGGGGAAGCCCCCATCGGGTCGGACGAAAGGGCCCCCGTCTGGCTCAGGAGGCGCCGGCGCATCGAGGACGACGCCCAGCGGCGGGGCAGAAACTGGCTGCATGCAGAAGGTCTCGTACTCCAGATGTCATGGTAAAGAGGGGGCGTCTGATTTGGGGGGGTTTGCCTTGAGCTGCCCTGGAGGGCCCCCGCAGGAGGTCAGAACGAAAATCATATCATTGCGTGGCTGGCCTAGGGGGTTCTACACCTCCCCGTCTGGGAGGGTTGTGACCCCCTCTCTTCTAGTGTGCCATGTGGGATAATCCGCTCTCTCCTCTGGACGCACAAAATGAATACGTGAAAAGGGGGCACGGTGCCCGAACAACAGATGTTGCCCCAAACCGATAGCGGCCGCTGCTGGGCAGGCGGCCTGCTGCCTCACATGTGCAGCGTCCGTGGCGACACCGGCAGCAGTAGTCCTGTTCAAAGTGCGCAGGACACGCAACCAATCTTCGCACCCAATCTGTCCATACCCATCTCAATCGCACCGCGAGTGGGCGAAGGGGTACTCAATACCACGCCAGCCGTCAAACGTCGATAGCCTCGAGCTGTCAGAACCAGATGACCGCGATGCCCAGATGCAGCCTGCGACAACGGAAACCGTGTTCGTGGAGGCTCGAGCAACGTCCGCACCGAGGTCTGGGTAGCTGCCCCAACGGCCGTCCGTCTCCCGATCCCCCCCTTTCCTCGGGCCCGGACTCCTCCCCGCCCCCCCCACCCCCCCAGGTGGCCGCAGCGGTACAGGAAGCCCTCGCGGCAACGGAACCACAGCGGCACGTGCTCCGCGTCGCCCGTGCCGCCACTCGGGGAGGGGGGGGGGGGAGGAGGAGGCGGAAGAGGCGGCGGCGGGGGGAGGGGGGGGGGGGGAAGGGAGACGAGGGCAGGGCGGCGCGGGCTGGCAGGACCCTCCCTTCCTCCTCCTCCCTCCTCCTGCTCCTCCTCCTCCTCTCTCCTCCTCCTCCTCTCCTCCTCCTCTTCCTCCTCCTCCTCCTCCTCCTCCTCCTCCTCCTCCTCCTCCTCCTCCTCCTCCTCCCCCGACCCTCCTCCCTCCTCCCTTCCATGCCAGACCGCAGCCACGTTGGCTCAAGCCGCCCCCCCGGCTCGAGGTTAACTGGGCGCGGAGATACCAATGGTCCGCGGACCTCTCTCTAGGGGCAGCTGCCGTGCGCGCCGGCCCGCGCCCGCGAGGCGAGCGGGTCCGGCCGCGACACGAGATGCTTCCTTGGGCGGCCGCGCGGCCGGCCCAGAGGCCCCCCGGGCCGCGCGGCGCCGCCGGCCAATCAGAGGCGCGGACGTCGCCCTCCTGGCGCGCAGGGGTCGCGCAGGTGCTGGACGAGAAGATCGTCGTGAAGAAGTCCACGGAGGACCCAGGCGACGCCGACCTGAAGGGAAAGACGGCGCTGATCCGATGCGACCTCAACGTGCCCCTGTATGCGGAACAGGAGATCACGGACGAGAAGCACATCACGGCCTCGATCCCGACGGACATCAAGTGCGCTCCGGAGTGCAAGGCCAACGACGAGGTGAAGGGGAAGACCCAGTTAGACCCCGAGCTGGCAGAGTGCCTGGCCAGCCTGACGGGCCTGTTCGGGAACGACACGTTCGGCACCACGCACCGGGCCCACTCTTCCACCGAGGACATGACCGAGCTCCTGGAGACGAACGTCACGGGCCTCCCGCTGAAGGAGGAGCTGGACAACCTGGAGGGCGCCGTGGTCACCCTGAATGCGGACCGGGAGATCACGGACGAGAAGCGCATCACGGCCTCGATCCTGACGGCCAAGGGCGCCAAGGTGCTGGAATACTCCCAACTGGGCCAACCCTAGGACGGGCCCGAGGACAAGCTCTCGCTGAAACCAGCGGCGAAGAAGCTGGAAGAGCTGCTGAAGAATGACGCCAAGTGCGCCAAGGACTGCAAGGCCCACGGCAAGGTGAAGGGGGAGACCAAGATCGACCTCGAGCTGGCAGACAGACTGGCCAGCATGACGGGACCCGTTCGCGAATGGCACGCTCGGCACCGCGCACCGAGCCAGCCTGAACTACCTGAAGGGGCTACATCAGGAGGAGCTGGACTAGTTACCTGAAGGGCGCCGTGGATGGCCTGGTGAAGCCGAGCAGGTTGGATGAGGACTATGTTTCCCAGGATGACGCGCTTCTGGACGCCGTAGTGTCGCCCCTCAGTTGTGTCGACTCGGTGTTCAGGGAGAGGCGCGCTCGCTGGCCGCCCACCTCACACGACTTCGCACTGTGCCGCGCCTATACCAGACTGGCGCACGGCGTCTGGGCCCGTATGAGGCCAGACCGCCCGTGACACTCTCACTTTCCTGTGCCGTGCTGTGCTGCACCCTCTGCGAGAAGGCTGTTAGGCCTCGGAGGGCGGCGTCTGGGCCCGAAGGAGGGCACACCGCATGCGTGATTCGTTTCTGCCCTCCCCGCCCCCTCCCCTCCCCTCCCCCTCCCCTCCCCCTCCTCCTCCTCCTCTCCTCCTCCCCTCCTCCCTCCTCTCCTCCTCCTCTCTCCTCCTCCTCCTCCTCCTCCTCCTGCGAGGAGGCTGCACGGCCTCGGAGGGCCCTCTCCCAGCGGGCCCCTTCCTAAGTGGGGGGGTCCACCCCTTGGGCGAGAGACCTCTGCGGGCCCCTCCAAGAGGGGAGGAGGCCCGCGGCCGCCGTGCAGGCATTGCACGTCGGAAGGGCCCTCGGCATGCGCCACTGCGCTCAAGCCCGAGCTTCGGGACAGTTCGCCTGAAGGGGCCTCAGGACACACACACACACACACACACACACACACAAATACACACAAATAAAAATAGTCCCTATATTTTCATATATTTTCTGGGTTTTTGTCTTCCCCCCCACTTCCCATATTTCCCCATATTTTCTTGTGAATCGCCGATTACTTGTATCTGTGTGTTTCTTTCCCTCCTGATCGCCCACGCACCGCCCCCCCCTCCTGGGCAACCACCGTCGACCCAGCCCCACCAGCCCTGGACCCCCCCCCTGCTGGACACCTGCCTCTGGCCGCCCTGCCCATCATGGGGGACGCGCTGACACACCCCCGCGGCGACCCACGCGGCCGGCATGCCGGCCCCCACCGTCCCCGGGGGCCCCCGCCATCGAAGGACGTCGCATACAGCTCTCGCTCGTGCGTAGCGCTCCGCGCCGCCCGCCGCCCCGTCGTTGCTGTGCGCGGCGCAGCCTGGGGCTCAGGGCCGAGCCTCCCTCCGCTGGGGAGGGGGCGGCAGCCAGAGGTGTACTTAACCGACCAGCCACAACTGGGGGAGCTGTGGTCCTTGCCCCCCTGGGGGAACCCACCGCATCGACGACCTCTCGAGAGGGGTGTCGAAGTCGATGGGTCCCCCAGGGGGGTAGGGACCACAGCTCCCCCAGTGGTGGGTGGCCTGTGTACCCCCCCGGGTTCTCGGGGTGAGAGCCTGCAGCAAGACGGCGCGGACTGCTGCAGTGCCGAGCCCCGTCCCTCTCCTCCCTCCCTCCCTTCCTCCCTCTTCCTCCCTCCTCTCCCCCCATCCCTCCCTCCCTCCCTTCCTCCCTCCCTCCCTCCCTCCGTTTCCCCCTCCCTCCCTCTCCCTCCTCCCTCCCTCCCTCCCCTCTCTCCCTCCTCTCTCCCCCCCCCCTCCCTCCCTCCCTCCCTCCCTCCCTCCCATTCTTCTGGCGGAGGCAAGCCAGTGACGGGCAAGGGAAAGGAAAGTCGCAAACGCAGCGCTCGTGGCCGCTTTCGCGGCCATGAAAAGCCCCCCGCTGCCGCTGCGGAGGCTCAGGCTTCGAGGATCCGCAGCGCAAAAGTAGCCACCCGAGGCCGGCCACCCGTCCCACTACAGCAGAACTCAGAGATAGCGCTGAATTGCGCTTGTCCGTGCACTGTCTGGGCCAGAAGGAAAGATGCCACTTCTCACCAATCGTCAGCTTGTCTCGCGGTTGGTGTCCAGCCGCTGGTGCAGCCTACCCGCTCGCCTCCCTCTTGGCATCTCTTGGCCACCCTGGGCCTGAGGGCGCAGGCTGAAGCTGCGCTGACCAGGAAGATTCCAGGCTGGAGCTTGCTCGCCGTCGCCATATCTGCCTCGTGTTCGCACGGCGCTCGTTCGTGGCATCCCTCAGTGTGCACCACTGCGTGCTGACTATTATCAGCAGTGCTTCGGCAACGCAACTGTAGAGCGAGCCTCTCATACCTGAGGCCCTCACCCATGATCGTTTCATCTCGTACCTAGAGACTGGCACAACAACAAAACCCTCTCCTCCTCCTCCCCTCCCTCTCCCCTCTTGTTTTGCAGGACCGGTCCCGTCCCTCCCACTCTCCCTCTCTCTCTCTCGCCCCCTATCCCTCCCTCCTCCCTCCCTCCCTGATCCCTCCCACGACCTCCCTCCCTCCCTTCTCCTCCTCCTCCTCCTCCTCCTCCTCCTCCTCCTCCTCCTCCTCCTCCTCCATCTCCTCCGTCTCCTCCTCCTCCTCCTCCTCATCCTCCTCCTCCTCCTCCTCCTCCTCCTCCTCCTCCTCCATGCGAGCTCTCGCGCGCGCCCTCCGATGGAGGAGGGGCGGGGCACGGACATATACGACGAGGAGCAAGAGAGGGGGAGAAGGGGGGAAGGACACTGAGGAGGGAGGAGGAGGAGGAGGAGGAGGAGGAGGAGGAGGAGGAGGAGGAGGAGAAGGAGGAGGAGGAGGAGGAGGAGGAGGAGGAGGAGGAGGAGGTGGAATGAGGAGCAGGAGGTGGCATTCGAAGGCTTGTTGGAGGCATTCGGGAGGGCTCGGGGGGCGTTTGGCCAGGGCTTGCGGGCTCGGGGGGCCTTCGGGCGAGGGGTGGCAGGAGAGGCACTGGAGACGGCTATGACATGGGGAAAGGCAGGAGCAGGCGGGCTGGGTCGGGAGGGGCGAGGAAGAGGTCCTCAAAGGGTTTGGGGCAGCTTCTGGCGTGTTCAAACGTTTTCGGGAGGTTCGAAGGGGGACGGGTGCCAGGGGAGTCGGAGCAGGAGGCAAGGGCGCAGGGGTGGGGGGGAAGGGAGGACGGAAAAGGGAGCAGGCAACGACACGGGGGAGGTAGGAGCACGAGGGGCGGGGATGGGGGGGGGGGGAGGAGGGGGAGGAAGAGGAGGAGGAGGAGGAGCTGGAGGAGGAGGAGGAGGAGGAGGGGAGGGAGGAGGAGGAGGAGGAGGAGGAGGAGGATGAGGAGGAGGGGAGGAGGGAGGAGGAGGAGGAGGAGGAGGAGGAGGAGGTAGGAGGGAGGAGGAGGTGGAGGAGGAGGAGGGGAGGAGGAGGGAGGAGGAGGAGGAGGAGGGGGGGGTGAAGGAGAAGGATGGGGATGAGGAGGAGGAGGAGGAGGAGGAGGAGGAGGAGGAGGGAGTGGAGGAGGAGGAGAGGAGGAGGGGAGGAGGAGGGGGAGGGGAGGAGGAGGAGAAAGAAGGAGGAGGAGGAGGAGGAGGAGGAGGAAGAGGAGGAGGAGGACGAGGAGGAGGATTAGGTTAGGCACGCCACTAGACCCGCCACCCCGAGCAGGCACAGAAGCCCCCACTCGACATGGCGAGCCCGTGGTTTCAGTTTCAGTATGCTCCACCGCCGCTCGCAGGCCCTCTGGCCTGCGAGGGCCCACTCCTTGGTGCCAGCGCTGGCACACAAGGGTTCACGTCGGCGGGCCTGCGAGCGGCGGCGGCGGCGTCAGGCGCACAGGGCTGCGCCCGCGACACGCCGCTGGCGGTGAGCTCCACGACGTCCTCCTCGTAGTGCTCCTGCTCGAAGTACACTTTGCGGCCTAACCCCTCGCCGCGCAGGGGAAAACTGTGGCCTAACCCCTCGCCACGCAGGGGAAAACTGCGGTCTAACCCCTCACCGCGCTGGGGTTGGTGGCCTAACCCCTCGCCGCGCAGGGGGTGTGTGCGGTCTAACCCCTCACCGTGCTGGGGATCGCCTGACCCCGCAGTCTCGCCCTGCGAGGGTCGGCTGCGGTCTAACCCCTCACCGCGCTGGGGTGGGACGTACTGCTTTCCGTACTGCTCCCTCTCGTTGACGCGGTCTAACCCCTCACCGCGCTGGGGTGCTTTCCTCCACTCGGAGGGGTCGTCGGGCTGCCCCTGGCTCGTGGTGATCGGGTCGTGGTGCCCTGGGGGCCGTACCCCCACTATCCCCTGTCCATCATGACGCCGCCCTTCGACCCTTTGTTCTCCTTCGCCTCGAGGGAGCCCTTGATCGTCGATACGGCCTAACCCCTCGCCGTGCTGGGGTGCAGCGTCGTCGTCCTCCTCGTATAGGTCGAGCTCGATGTAGTCGCCAGCCGCGGCCCTGGCTAACCTGCTCGAGCACGCCAGTGTATGTTCCCATCGGCCTAACCCCTCGCCGCGCTGGGGATCATCGTGGCCTAACCCCTCGCCACGCAGGGGAACATTGTGGCCTAACCCCTCACCACGCGGGGGTAAAACGCGGTCTAACCCCTCACCGCGCTGGGGTTGGTGGCCTACCCCCTCGCCACGCAGGGGGAGCCTACGGTCTAACCCCTCACCGTGCTGGGGATCGCCTGCCCTCGCAGTCTCGCCCTGCGAGGGTCGGCTGCGGTCTAACCCCTCACCGCGCTGGGGGGCGATGTGCTGCTTTCCGTATGTCTCCCTGTCGTTAACGCGGTCTAACCCCTCACCGCGCTGGGGTACTTTGCTCCACCCGTAGCGGTCGTCGGCCTGTCCCTGGCTCGTGGTGATCGGGTCGAGGTGCTCATGGGGCCGTACTCTCGCTATCGCCTGTCCATCATGACGCCGCTCTTCGACCCTTTGTTATCCTTCGCCTCGAAAGATTCCTTCATCGTCGATACGGCCTAACCCCTCGCCGTGCTGGGGTGCAGTGTCGTCGTCCTCCTCGTAGAGCTCGAGCTCGATGTAGTCACCTGCCGCGGCCCTGGCAGGACGAGGAGGAGGAGGGGGAAGAGGAGGAGGAGGAGGAGGAGGAGGACGAGGAGGAGGAGGAGGAGGAGGAGGGAGGGGGAGGAGGAGGGGGAGGAGGAGGAGGAGGAGGAGGAGGAGGAGTGAGAGGAGGAGGAGGAGCTGGAGGAGGAGGAGGAGGAGGAGGAGGAGGAGGAGGAGGAGGAGGAGGAGGGGGAGGGGGGGGGGAGGGGAGGAGGAGGAGGAGGAGGAGGAGGAGGAGGAGGAGGAGGAGGAGAGGAGGAGGAGGAGGAGGAGGAGGAAGAGGAGGAGGAGGAGGAGGAGGAGGAGGAGGAGGAGGAGGAGGGAAAAGGAGGAGGAGGAGGAGGAGGAGGAGGAGAGGAGGAGGAGGAGGAGGAGGAGGAGGAGGAGGAGGAGAGGAGGAGGAGGAGGAGGAGGGGGGAGGGGGAGGAGGAGGAGGAGGAGGAGGAGGAGGAGGAGCGAACGAACCCCTGGGAGAGGCGCGTCTATCTATAATGGGCGCGCACCGCCGTGCGCGCACGGGCCGAGCCTCAGGGAGAGGCGGGAGGCCATCATGTAGTTCTTGTGGGTGCTGTACGAGTTGTCGACAATGACATCGATCTTGATCGTATGGTAAAATCTGTATACCACCGCCAGACGGGTGAGCACGTGGTCGATCTTGTCGTCATCGGCCCCATGCGGGTCGAAATTGATGTCGTGCAGGCCAAGCCTGGCGAGAACACATTTGTGAAGTTGTCCACGAGGCAGTGCAGCATGATGCCATAAACGCTTGCAGACCAGGTAGTGGCTGAACGTGTCGGGGTGAAACTTTGGATTGCAGCCGAGAACACAACCACGAAGGACGGGCTGAACGTGCATGCGGTATGAAGTGGCCCACCCGCCCGAAAGCGTCTTCATGACAGGCCAAAAGCGCGAAGGCGGCAGCTTGGCGATCTTCGGGCGGATGCGGTTCCACGCGGTCTTCACATTGAACGGTAACTGGATGAGAGAGGTCATGTCATTGTCGTCCGCGTACTCGTTGGTGAGGTCGTCGGTGATCATGGGGGTGGAATCCGAGTCATTGTTCTGGAAATCGGCGTCGTGAATCCAGCGGCGGCCGAGCGTGGTGTTCATTAGCTGCACGTTCGAACCTCAGCTGTAGTTCGGGGGTGCGGGGGGTATTGAACGCAGCGGAGGTCTGGAATCTTGATGCCGCAGTTGACTGCCATGCCTGCGTGCAAATACGTTCGGCACGCCGACGAAGCTGAGCATCAGTTTGGCCACGAAATAGGACTTGTAGACCGTCACGACGGAGATGACGAAGAATAAAAGTTTCGCACCATGCATGCCAATCGAGGAGGAGGAGGAGGAGGAGGAGGAGGAGGAGGAAGAGCTGGAGGAGGAGGGGGACGAGGAGGAGGAGGAGGAGGAGGAGGAGGAAAAGGAGGAGGAGGGGGAGGGGGAGGGGGAGGAGGAAGCAAAAGGATGAGGGCCATCATGCAGTCTCATGTCCGGTGAGCAGAGGCCGACGTGCTCAGCCCTTCCTCTACGCTGAAGGGGCCCGGGGACACACGAACAAGTACACACAAATCACCGGATCCCCCCTATTTCCCCATATCTTCGGGGCCTCTGTCTTCCCCCCCCACTTCCCATAGTTCCCCATGTTTTTTTGGGGGAAATCGACGATTCCTGGTGGAATCGTCGATTTTTGTATTTTTTTTGTGGAATCGTCGACTCCTCCCAATCTTCCTATATTTGTTTTGAACATCGACGATTCCTTGTGCCTGTGTGTTCTTCCCCCTCCTGGCGTGAGTGCGGCTCTGCCTCCTCCGAGGGCGCGGGACCAGCCCGGCACCGGCTCTAACACCCAAGCCTGCGGGCTTGCGGAGTCCAGAGGGCGCACGGCGTGGCCCCGGCCCTTTTGGTGCTCTGGACCTCTCTTAAGCAGCCTCGAACGTACCGTACGTCGACAAAATGTTGCACCACTTTTGCCGCGCATCGTCAGCTATATTGCATTGCTCCTCCCCCCCCCTCCCCCTGATCTTAATATTGGGCACATGGCAAAGGTCCCTTGGCGCCCCCCCAGGGCTCGCGACAAAATGTTGCACCACCGAGCCGTTTCGATGAACCCGGGACCGCAGCCAATGTTAAGATTGGGGGGGGTGGAAGCGAACATCCATTGCAAAATCGGCTTGCTTTCTTGACAACACCAGGTGGTGCAACATTTTGTCGATGTACCGTATCCCTATTCCTAAGATTGGCACGCCCAAAGGCGATGAGAATCGTAGGGAGGCGCCCTCCAAAACCGAGGGAATCCCTGAGATCGCCATCGTGATGAGGCGATGCCTAACATAGGGATAGGGATTGGTTCCAGGCTGGTCATCTCTGAGACTCTGGGAATCGATGGGGCGACTTACTCGTATCCTGAGGCTGCCTGGATTGCTGCCACCCTGCCTCCGCCTCCTCTGCCGCGCTGGCGAAGCCTCCCCCCCCCCCTCACCCCTCCAGTCCGCGCAGACTTACGAGACCTGCCTCTGCATGCACGTCCACGATAGGTAGTAGTGGCGATCTCCCAAGCGACTGGGCGAACCAGACCACACATTTTAAACACCCTAGCCACGCTTGGGGATCCAAATGGGAACAACAAAAACCTCCAACACGGAACGGTCAGACGGCAGTCTGGACGGCGTCAGTACTCGGAGCACTCGGAAGCCACGACCTTCTACACAGAACCAACTGACAAGGTCCCAAGCGAAGCAGCCAGGCTGCGGTTTTGGAAATCCTGCCGCAAAGCGAATTGACAACACTGCACCACCAGCCTTGGAATCTGCGGCTTGGCTTAGAACATCACGAGGAACTCGACTAAGTCCAGACAGGGAAACCACATACTGATCGCTACCCATCGGTCGGAAGAAGTAGGCAGAACCATGATGTAGAAAGGCGTTGAAAATATATTGGGTGTCCGCCCGCCCCTTAAAGAGGAAGGAACATGTAAAACCACTCGAGTACTGAAGTAAGAAGGCGCTTAAAGTAGGCTGGAATCTGGGACTTCAGAACCCCCTACTTTTAACGACCGATGGGTATCCCTGTCTGCTTTTTCCATGAACAGAGAAGGCGGCCCGAGTTTCTTAGGATGACTGAGACGCGCACTTATGACCTCGATGATGGGGTAGTGCGAAGGGCGGGGCACGATGTCGAAAAATTGGCGCAACCTCTGTAAGGTAGACAAATTTGGGACACCGCAATTCCGTTGCGCGCGGGGTGTCTAGCGCAATTTGTGCCAGGCAGACGGAATGAGGACATCCAGATTCGGTGGTGCGAAAGGTGGCATGATCGACCTACAGCGAGACCAATTGCGACACTTACGGAAGAGGTGTCTGGCGGGAGCTGTGGCGCGACCTATGGCGCAACTGATGGGAAGTAGACAGAATGGGGAAATCGCGACTTGGTGATGTGCGGGGTTTCTGGCGTAGACTATGATGCAAAACATGGCGCAACCGATGTGAGGTAGACAAGGTGAGGCAATGGCTGCATGTTGGTGCGTGGGGTGTCTGGCGCAGGCCATGGCGACAACTACTGCGAAACGGGCATACGACAGACAGATTGAGGAAATCGTGATATAGTAATGCCGGGGGGGCAATCTAACACGCATGGCTCAACCTATGCGATGCGAGGTCGGCAGAGCAGGACGAGCGCGATGTGGCGGTGGGCACCGGGCAGGGTGCCTGGCGCAAGCTTTGGTCCAACCTGCAAGGAACTCGTGATATGGTCGTGTGTGGGGTGTCTGGCACAGTTTATGGCGAGCTGTGCGGCCCAACGCAGGCAAGCTAGTGCACGGGGTGTCTGGCGCATCCTGTGGCGCAAGCCGTGGAAGGCCGGCAGAATGTGGAAATCGAGATCTGGTGGTTCGCAAAGTGTCTGCTTCAGTCTGCAACGCGGCCGGCGCCGAAGACTACGGAAAGCACATTCAGATGAAGGGAAACACGATGCGCTAGGCGAGCCCTGGACACGCAACGCATCCCCGACTTGGACAGAAGGGACGGCCCGAACACACCACAGCCCCTCCCGAACCCAAAGCAGTCCTCAGTTCAGCGCCGTGGCTGCAATCACACATGGCGCAACCCACGGCCCCACGGGGCGTACTGCAGGGGGTCTCTGGGCTGGGTGAAGATGATGGGTCGCGGCGTGTGGCACCTGGTCTCCGCAAGAGAGCTGCTCGAAGTGAGGATCTCTCGCGCGAAGCGCCGCCGTGAGTGTTGAGCGCACCTCGCGAAACCCGAGGGCCAGCTGAACCCGAGAGCCCCTCTCGCGGAATCGCCGTCGGACAATCCTTCGGTCGAGAATCCTTGCTCAGCGTGCCGCCGCAGCGGCCCCGAGGACACGCTGTGCCCTGCGAGCGGATCGCGTGCCGCTCCGCTCCGAGGGGGCGGGAGGCTCGGAAAGGCTCCGGACGCGGACGCTTGGGCATTGGAAGGCGGATCGCGTGTCGCGCCGACGAGTGTTGGGCACCGACGGGGCGACACGCGATACAAGAGTTCCCGAGAGTAGGGATGCAGCTTCCAGATACCTCCCACGTCGCGCCACGAGGGAATACCGGGGAGGGAGTGATTCAGGGAGGCTATAGGGAGGGGAGCGCGTGCGACCATTCATGGCCCCTGCGCTTCATGCCCTGGGGCGCGTTCAATCATAACGCGTTTCGCCCATATGGAGCAGCTGCGCAGCGATGTAAAACGATGCATACGCAAGAGGAATGACACATCATGACAGAGTGTGCCCTCCTGCTCGACATGTGAGAGGGCGTGAAAGGTAGAGGAGGATGCGCAGTAGGATGGACGAGAAAGTGCAATCCTTCATCGCTCCCCCTATCTCCGTTCCAGCGGCGAAAACAGCAGAACGGCGGGGGAGGATGGGAACACAGAGGGAAGAGAAGGGGGGAGGAGGAGGAGGAGGAGGAGGAGGAGGAGGAGGAGGAGGAGGAGGAGGAGGAGGAGGAGAGGAGGAGGAGGAGGAAGAAGAAGAAGAAAAGCATGAGCACGAGACGGAGGATGAGAAGATACCCTCCGAGTTTCCGCAGACCGCGCTGCGCGAGCTCTGTCGGCGCCGTGCTGGCATGAGAAGCGGCAGAGCGCAGAGCCAGCCAACCGACTACTTTGTCGTGGCTGCCTCTTGCGGAGCTTGTCTGCCAGGCAGCGGCTCAAGAGGAAGGATCTCACTGGCTCAGGTAGCGCCTCCAGAGGAGGGCTCTTACCGGCTTCACGACCATCGCCGTCAGTACGCCTGCAAAGAAACCGTTCACCGTCATGCTCGCCGCTTTCACGCCGACCTTCGCCGTCACCTCGGTGGCGATCTCCTTCACCTGCACAACTTGTCGGGCCTTCGCGAGCTGCACCTCGAGAGCCGCGACCTGCGCCTGGGAGACGGCGACGCCCGCCTCAGAGCTGACAGAGCAGGAGGAGGAGAGATGTTTCCTTTCGCAGGGATAGTTGAGAGGAGAAGGAGCTGCAGGACGAGTAGCAGGAGAAGGAGGAGGAGAAGCAGCAGGAGAAGGATAACCCCGAGCACAGGGGAGAAGACGGGGAGGAGGAGGAGGAGGAGGAGGAGGAGGAGGAGGAGGAGGAGGAGGCGGAGGAGGAGGAGCGGAGACGGATGCCGAGGACAGGAGGATGGGGGGGGAGGACCAGGAGGAGGGGCAGGGGGGCCATCGAGAGGACAATCGGGGAGGAGGAGCACGAGGCAGAGGCGGAGGCGGCCGCGGGAGGAGGAGGAGGAGGAGGAGGAGGAGGAGGAGGAGGAGGGGGGGGAGGCGCGGCAGCGAGCGAGCGAGGGCGGCGACGCCGCGACACCTCCCGCCCGCAGAGGAAGCCCGCCGCGAACACCGCGGCGACCAGCGCCAGCGCGGCCGCGGCCAGCCCGAGCGCGGCGGCCCGGCGGCCCGCCCGCGGCCCCGCGGAGGGGAGCCGCCGCCGCGACTCCCAGGGGAGCCACCGCTCGGGCGCGGTCGGCAGCGGGCGCGGGGCCGCCGCCACGGGCGCACCTGGCGGGGCGGTGCCCCTAAGCCTGGAAATATGTTCTGGGCCGGGCACCGGGCATCCCCAAAAAACAGGAGAGAGGTCCGACCCGTATACTGGATGCGCGAGTGCCTCCAAGCTGTGTGAGAGCAGTCTCTCCCCTGCACCCCCTCCTAAATTCGGCTGCCTCGGAAGACAGAGGGGCGGCGGGTATTCTAAGAGAAGGAAGAGAGGCCCAGGCCCCAGAAAAGCAGAGGGGCCCCGCCCCGGCAGGGGCGCCCGCACAGCTCAGTCCCTGGGAGGGGGAGTGGCCGGATCCTGGAGCGGAGAAGGTTGAGCCCTGGAAAGGAGCCAGCAGATGGAGGAGGAGGGGGGGGAAGAGGGGAGAGGGAGGGGCCGAATCCTGGAGAGGAGAAGGCCGAACCCTGGAGAGCAGGAGGGAGAAGTCCTGGCCCGGGAGGCGGCGGGGCCCCGCCCTGGAGAGGGTGCCCGCACAGCTCGGCCCCCGGGGATGACAGGGCCGCATCCTGGAGACGAGAAGGCCGGACCCTGGACGGGAGCCAGCAGGTGGAAGGAGGGAGGGGGAGGACGAGGGGAGGGAGGAGAAAGAGGAGGAAGAGGAGGAAGAAGACAGGAAGAGGAGGAGAAAGAGGAGGAAGAAGAGGAAGGAGGAAGAAGACAGGAAGAGGAGGAAGGAAGGAGGAGAAAGAGGAGGAAGAAGAGGAGGGAGGAAGGAAGAGGACAGACAGGGGAGGGAGGGAGGAGAAAGAGGAGGAAGAAGACAGGAAGAGGAAGCCCGTGCTCGGGGCGGCGATCCTTCTTCCCTGCTACTCCACAGCACCGTGGCAAGAGTTCCTCCTTCAGTCTCCCTTTGCCGATAGCGCAGTCCGAATCAGTTCGGAGTAGCTCGTAGTTCGGAGCGGAGCAGCTCGGAGTAAGAACATGCGAGGCCCCCCAGGTGGGTTCCGCATAGACGGTGCCGCAGGATCGCGCCGCATCGCCGATGCATCGGCGAAGAAAGCTCGATGCAGAGCCCGAGGCTCTCCGCGCCGACGTCGCCGATGCGTCGCCGATGCGGCGCGAGCCTCCGACCCCATCTGCTCGCACCCCGCCCGGGAGGCTTAGGAAGAGCTCCAACTCACCTCCTCTGATCGCGCGGGCGCCTCCCGCTCGAGCACCTCTCTAGGGCTGTGGCGCGCGGCGTGCGGGGCGCGGGGGCGGGGGATCCCCGAGCTCCCCGCGCTGCGGGTGTAGCAACAGAGTCACGGCTGGCATGTTGTCCATCGTGTTCGGCCGCTGGGGGCTTTCGCGTCGGCCCCCGGGGGGCGTCGGAACGGCTCGGGGCGGGAGGGGGGGGAGGGCAGGAGGGAGGCGGAAGATGTCGGAGAAAAGTTGGGGGATGGGGGGGGGAGAAGGGGGGCAGGGGTGGCGCAAGAGGAGGAAAAGAGGGGTAAGGAGGGCACAGGCGGCGGAGGCAGAGCAGGAACGAGGAGGAGGAGGAGACCGAGCAGATATCAAAGGGGAGGCGGAGGAACAGGGAAGAGGATTACACTCGAGGCAGGCATAGAAGCGAGGAGGAAAGGACGGATTCAGAATTGGGGAAGACGAGACGAAGGAAGAGCATGAGGACCGAGGAGCACTAGGAAGAAGAGCGAGGGAGGACGAAGAGAGCAGGGGAGAGGATGATTGGGAGGGATTGCGAGGACGGCGGGGGGGACGAGCAGGGAGCGAGCCTGGAAAGATGAGGGCCTCATCTGGCCGAAACTGGCACGTCTTCGTTTGCCTTCCCGTTGACGGCGACGTTGTCGTCGTCGTCGTCGTCGTCGTCGTCGTCAACCGTGGAGAAACAGTTCCCCGACCCCCCCCTCCCACGGGAAATGGAAGGCATTTTGAGGCTTTCGGGTTGGATTGGGGTGGTTTGGTGGGCGGTGGTAAACCCAGGATGCACAAACGATGGTGTGCAGCACATCGTCCTGCCCCCAAGCCCCCCTTGAGCACGAACCCATGGCTAGCCTTCCGTGCCACTCCGAAAACCTGGGCGTGCCATTCAGGCGGGGGCCCCTGCTTGAGAAGAGACCGTCGTGGATCCCTCCGGCACGTGAGGAGGAGCGGACAGAGGTAATTACGATGGTAAAGCTCAGCGCAGTGCCCCGCGAGCCCCGCTCTGGCAAAAGTGACTACCTACCAGACCACCCCAACCCAACCCGAAGACCCGAATTTGACCCGAATTTCGGGTTGGGGGGGGTACGGGTTCCATTTGTTTTTTCAACATTCCCCGACCCCCCCCCCACTGGAAGTGGAGGGCAAATTGAGGCCTTCGGGTTGGGTTGGGGTGGTTTGGTAAGTGGTGACGCTCTGGCTAAAAGCAGCCCCTCCGCGCCTGCTGCACACGCTTTATAGCTTCGGGGCGTTGACCCTAAGGAACCCTAAATAAGGAACGAGGCCCCTTTTTGAAGGGGCCCTGGAGCACACAAATAAATGCACACAAATAAAAATGTTCCCCATATTTTTCTATATGTTCTGGGTTTCTGTCTTCCTCACCACTTCCCATATTTTCTCATATTTTCCTGGGAGTCGGCGATTAATTGTGTCTGTGTGTGTTTTCCCCTCCTGATTTTTTTCCACAAGTTAAAAACTTCGACCTGCGATCGAAAACACAGGGAAAACCTGAGGCAGGCCGTGAGACACGTAAGGAACGCGGAGCCCCTCCCCCACGAAAAGGGCTCCTTCCTCAGGGCCCCGACGGTGTAGCTCCTGGCCCCGTACCTCCAGGGGACCTCGAGCGGCCGCCCCTCCTCCCTGTCAGGGAGCCGCGCCCGCCCTCCCTCCTCGCAGCCGGCAGCAGCTCCCAGCACGACTGCGCACGGCGCGGAGGCGAGCGCCCCTTTCTGAAAGCGGCTTGTGTTTTTTTTGGGGGGGGGAGGGGCAGCTTAGTGGGCCCAAGAAACGACAGGGCCGTTTTTGTTACCGGTTCCGACGCCGTTTTTCTTACCGGCTCCGTCGCCGTCCTTTTACGGGTTCCCGCGCCGGTTCCAATCCTGGAGCCGTGTTTGTTGCCGTTTCGGGTCGCCATTTTTTTGCCGTTTCCATTTTCAAGGGGCGCTTTTTCGGAACCGGTGAAAAACCGGCCCTGCCGTTTCCGGGGCCCACTAAGGGAGACAGACATGGTGAGACGGGTGTGAGCGGCGCTAGGGCGGGAACGCCATCTTGAAGACGACCCCCTCCATCCTTGTCCGCCACCGTGCCGCTGGGCACGGAGAGGGCGTGTCGCCAGGTCCTTATAGGCCCCAAAGACGGCTCCAAGGGGAGGCCCGGATGGGGGACCCAAGCGGACATTTCGAGCCCTCGGCCACGAACGTCCCCCAGGAGGCCCCAAGGGGTCCCCAAGAAGCCCCCCGAGAGCGCCGCGAAGAGACCGCAAGAAGCCTACCTGAGAACCCTGACCCACAAATCAAGCACGGTGGCGGGATGGGCCGACAGCCATTCGATCCGCCGCCCCCTGTTGATTCATCACAGGGGTGCCTGGCGTGCTAGACCCTTTCGGTGTTTGGTTTTGGTTCTTTTCCATAAGAACTCCCCCTGGGCCTCCGGCGCGTCCCGCCGGCCACCAGGAAAGATTGCCAAGGACCTCAATCCGGAAAAAATCCTCCAAGATGGTACAAGATGGCCTCCACGATGACCACGTTGGCCCGAGATGGCCTGCAAGATGGCCTCCAAGTCCGCCCAAGATGGCCCTTGACGGCCTCGAAGACGGCCCAAGAGAGTCCAAGATACCTCCAAGGTCGCCCGAGAAGCCTCCAAGACGGCCCAAGACGACCCAAGAGGCCTCCAAGAGGTCCCCAAGGAGGGCCCGAAGAAGCCAAAATCATTGATTTTCTCTAGGTTTAGAAACATTTTGGCATTTGTTTTTTCCGGCCTTCCGACGGCTCAAGACGGCTCAAGAGGACCCCAAGATCGCCCACGAGGCCTCCAAGATGGCCCCATGACGGCCCAAGAGGCCCCCAAGACGGCCCCAAGAGAGCCCCAAGACGGGCCAAGAGGCCTCCAAGACGCCCAAGATGGCCTCCAAGATGGCCCCGAAGCGCCCCTAGAGAGCCCCAAGCCGTTTCAGAGAGGCCCCCAAGACGGCTCCCGACTGCGTCACACGGTCCAGGAACCCACAAAGATGGCCGAAGTTGGCTCGAAGCTGGCCCAAGACGGCCCAAGAGGCCTCCAAGAGGGCCTCCAGGAAGGCCAGAAAAGGCAAAACAACATTGATTTCCCTGAGGAGTTTGAAGGATTTTGACATTTGTTTCTTTCGGGCCTTCCGACGGCCCGAGAAGGCCCACAAAGATCGCCCAAGAGGCCTCCAAGATGGCCCCAGAACGGGCCAAGAGGCTCCCAAAACGGCCCCAAGAGGCCCCCAAGACGGCCCAGTAGGCCTTTAAGACGCCCAAGATGGCCTCCAAGACGGCCCTGGAGCATCCCAAGAGGGCCCCAAGTCGGCCCAGAGAGCCCCCCCAAACGGCTTCGGACGGCGTCAGACGGGCCAGGAGCCCACCAAGACGGCCGAAGATGGCCCTGAGATGGCCCAAGACGCCCCAAGAGGCCTCCAAGAGGTCCTCCAGGAAGGCCCGAAAAGGCCCAAATCATTGATTTCCCATGAGTTGTTGAAGGATTGTGGCATTTGCTTTTTGTCGGCCTTCGGACGGCCCGAGGCGGCCCAAGTGCCCCCAAAGATCGCCGAAGAGGCCCAAGACGGCCCCACGAGGCCCCCAAGACGGCCCAAGAGGCCTCAAAGACGCTCAAGATGGCCTCCAAGACGGCCCAAGAGCCCTCCAAAACGTCCTCCAAGGCGGCCCGAAAGGGTCAAAATGGCCTCCAGGCGGCCAAGGTGACCTTCAAGATGCCCACGTGTTCCCCGAAGGCTTTCCAAACCGATTCGGGGAACACATAGTCCGATAGCTTGGCAGGTCTGGCCTCAACGTTCGGCCACATAGGCGCTTCCAAAAAGGCAGGGGGCGGCGGTGATTCGCCGCAGGCGTCT